AACCTCAAACAAATTTAGTTACCCTGACCACAGCATCAGAGAGGCTTTCAGTAACAGTAGCAAACCTTCCATTACCTCATCCTGAGGAATGAGAACTTGAACAAGCCCCTGGAAATCTCTTAACACCAGGAAGATGTTTTGCCTGATTAATGAAGAAAATGAACATGTTAGGATAAAATCTCTGGGCCAAAATTTAAGCAGGCAAAGCAAGGTAAACAAACAAAAGGCCCATATAATTTCTCACATTTATTATAATAAATAATATATGTTTTTGTTAGTTCTAGTGTCCCGGTGCACAGATTTGTGCACATTGAAAGGAAATTAATTAGAAGGAATATTTTAATATCGCTATTTGTGTCTTGCTAATAAAAAGAAAATAGGATTCTAATGAGTCTCCTATCTACCTACTCCAGGACTTCTGTGAGGGTGAAATGAGATGAGGAACAGGAAAATGCTTCACAAACATTTGGTTAAGCTATAAAATGTTTGCATCTGGCTATAAAGTAATTGGGTTCCTGGGCTGAAGAAACTCCAAGGAAGCTAGTCACTAGGGAGAGGCACCTGGGTGTTGCTATGTGATATCATTACCTGGTGCCCACAGTGACCTTTTCTAGGCTGGGCTGGGCTGTGGGTTACATTTGGCACCATGGGGTCTTGGCAGCGTTGGCTGTGATTTGGTGGGGTGTCACTCTGGGGTGGTGGTGGGATCTGTGTCCACGTGGGGGAAGCCTAGTATTGGTTTGTTGGTGCGAGGTCTGTGTGCTATTCATTTTTAAATGGCCAGTGCGCATCAGAGCTACTGGTCAGATTGACAGACGGACACTTAGCCTTTTATATATATAGTCATGAAATTTTCTATGTAGTTTTTTGTGTTTTTTTTACATCCTCACCTGAGGATATGTTTATTGATTTTAGAGAAAGGAAGGGAGAAAGAAAAACATCAATGTGGGAGAGAAACATTGGTAAGTTTCCTCTGGAATGCACCCCAACTGGAGATCAACCTGAAACCTCGGTATGCGCTCTGACCAGGAATCGAACCCAAAACCTTTTGGTATATGGGACAACACTCCAACCAACCAAGCCACCTTGCCAGATATCTATGTAACTTATTAATGAAAAACAAAACAAAACAAAAACTTCTTTTTCAATTTTTTGTGGCTATACTAGAGGCCTGGTGCACAAATTCGTGCACCATCAATCAGAACCAATGAGGGCTGGCTGGTCAGGGGGAGGGACTACAGGAGGTTGGCTGGCCATAGGAGATTGGCTGTGGGAGTGCACTGACCACCAAGGGACAGCTCCTGTGTTGAGCATCTGCCCCCTGGGGGTCAGTGCATGCCATAGTGACTATTCAATTGGTTGTTCGGTTGCTTAGGCTTTTATATATATAGATATTCAGCTTATGTCATCCAGGTGGCTTATTAATGAAAAGGAAGATTTAAAAAATGTTTTAATTTTCATTGGCTTAAGTCTTTATAAGAAAATCTTATTAAATTTGAAAACTTTCCACATATTAAAATCCAAGAGAATATTTTAGGGTACTAAAAATATCTGATTGGACACTTTTGAAGTATAGCAATATAAAGCCTTTTCCTAAAAAAAGATATAATCTAAAATTTTCTATAGGAAGTCCAACTACCGGTACTAATTTAATATATCTATAAACCATCTAAAGGTCTCCCAAATTCCAACATTTTTAGCATTTAATCTACATTTTTTATACTGTCTTTATTACCAACAAGATATTCAGAAAGCCTCCTCTGATTTAAAAAAATATATTTATATTGATTTCAGAGAGGAAGAGAGAGGGAGAGATAGAAACATCAAGGAAAAGAGAGAATCATTGATCTGCTACTTCCTGCATGCCCCACTGGAGATCAAGCCTGCAACCTGGGCACGTGCCCTGACTGGGAATCAAACCGTTTATAGGTCGATGCTCTATCAGTGAGCTATGCTGAGTGGGCACCTCCTCTGATTTTGAGAAGATAAAGTCAACAAACTTATGGGTCAAATGTCCATCCAACTGGGACATATTCTTTGGAGAGGTCCCACAATCTATGTATTTGGATCTCTTCAATGTGAATTACTGTACTATTCAGAAATGTTCTAGAATACAACAACAAAAGGGCTCTAATCTTAACAAATCACTGTTCTCTACTTAAATTTAGAATAAAATAAGCTTGTTCATGCTCTTGGAGCTTACTAGCTGGCCTATTCCCAATTACTAGTTCTTCAGAGTTTTAAACTAAAAAGTTAAATTCCATGGCTGAAAGGCTTTTTAAAAGAAAGTGTTTATTAGTCCATTGCTACAAAAAACAAAACAAAAAACACCCCACAACCCATACAACACAAAAAAAGACCGGTCGTGGGGCATGATTAGATAGAAAAAAAACCCCAGCATGTCTGTTATCCCAGAATTTTGCAAGTGTTTTTTAAACCTGAAACAGAGAGAAAGGTGTGACACTTTAAATAAATGAGGCATGCGGCCCACCGGCCGCGAGTTTGACATGCTTGGAGCTGTTCTGAAAGAACTAATATTAGCTATAGACAAAGGGAATGGGAGGTTAAGCAGGGCTACTGTGGGCTAAGGCACAGCAGCAGAATCTGTAAAGCTCATGTGTGAACAAGAAGCAGAGGCTCCTGGGATTTGACAGGCCTGCCTATTCACTCTTTTTTATATAATCTCAGAAAGAGCCACCTGAATATCAATTATAATTCCAACATACACTAAGTAGTGTGAGCAGTCTTTTGGTGGTTTTGCACTATAGCTGTTAACCAATTAACCCCTTTATCTCTTCCTTCCATCCTCTGGCCTGCAGTAATTTAATTCAGGACATCTCAGAATTTTCTCCTTGTCAGGAGTCCTTAACCCTTGTAAGCCAAGGGTCATTGCAGTTCATTGGTGGATCACACTTCCTTATTACACCCTTCAATGTATGCTAGTGGTACTTACTCAGAGTAACACTATTTGGGCCTTTCAAAACAAAATGGAAAATTTAACGAATTTTGAGAAACTTGTAGGAGTTGCAAAGCTTTTATTTTTCTGACAACACCATGCATTCTCAAACCATCTGAGTCAACTTACCTTCGGTACTGAATCCATCCACACAAGGTGACTTCTTGACCTAGATGCAAAGAACGCAACTCTCCACATGTGTTGGTCCGGGCAACAAAGCTACTGAGTTCTAAAAAGAAAAAAGCAAGATGAAAAATCTATTATTTCTTTTTCTTTTTAATATATTTTATTTATTTACTTTTTTTTTTTACAGAGAGGAAGAGAGAGAGAGATAGAAACATCGATCAGTTGCCTCTTGCACATCCCCTACTGGTGATGTGCCCGCAACCAAGGTACATGCCCTTGACCGGAATTGAACCTGGGACCTTTCAGTCCATAGGCTGAAGCTCTATCCATTGAGCCAAACCGGCTTCGGCAAAATCTATTATTTCCAAACTGCTTAAAAATAAAGACTTCAAGTCGCATCATCTTAGGCATTTCATGTCAATGGATAAAATTTATAAAATAAATCTAAGTGTGTAATTTGATTCAATCACTATTAAATCTATAATGTCAAAGGTAAATGTGTTAAAAAGACAACTAAATAATTGCCTTCATGTGAATTTTTGCCTTATGTTAGGAAGTCAATCTTTTTTGATCACCAAGCATTTGCATTGACCTAAAATTAGCCCATTCTTAATAGCACAGCACAGATCCTTCCCCTATTCAATAGCACCTTAGGAATCACAGAAATTGGATGGTGCAGTGACTAACTTTAGTGTGAAAGTGAAAGTCACCATGTACACTTAAAATTTTTGAGACTTAGTAGCATTAACTAAAAGCCTATCTATGTGGCTTTTTCTGGTCTTTTTAAAGCTCCAGGAAAACACACACTATAGTGTAAGAAAGGAAGAAGGTGGATGATCTGCTTTTACGTTAAGCCCATCCGCCCAGTTCAGTCTAGCGGGGAATGGAGAAGAGGAGGGAGTGCTGTCCAGAGGACCAGAGCTCCGCTCGGCTTTCACCTGGAACTCTCCGCGGTGCACTCAGCAGCAGACCTCTGGACAGAGACGGCCGGATCAGCCGCACGACCCTTCCGGTGGGCGCGGCCAAGCCCCTCTTGAGCCCCGTGAACCACCCGGAGAACATGGTGAAGCCGCTGGAGGGCGAGACTAGCTCACGAGTCCCACTCTGCGGGTGTTGGACGGTGGTCCGCGGTCATTTTTGGAAATACACACGAATCCCTTAAAATGCTAGGCGTTCCCACTCTCTGCTCCAGTATGTAAGCCCTTCTCCGCTGAACAATGAACACGTGTCTGGAAACCGGATCGATTTACAAGGTCTTTGGGGTCCTTGGGGCGTGGGTGGAAGAAAGACCTTTCTCCCCTTCTCCAGGCATCAGGTCCTACTTCTGCTAACAAACACAGCTGCGGCCAGATGTGCAAGAACGCATGCACACAGCGGCGCGAGGCGGGCCCCCGGGCCCAGGGAGAGACGGAAGGGGCCGGTCCTCAATCGCACGCCCTGTCCTTTCCTTCCGCGCTTCCCCGAAGGTGCCCGCGGCAGGACCGGGAAACAGGGAGAGAACTCAGCCTCGCGTTTCAATCCTGGCGCCGACCTCGGATATTCAGAATGGGGAAGAGGGCACATCCAAAACGGCCACGTTAGGGTCCGATTCTCCCAGCACCTCGGCCCAGTGAGCCAAGCACCCCCTCCAAGCGCTCGCGAGCGCCCAGGATGACGGTAAGACGATCAGCCAATCAGAGCGGAGCCCGCGCCGCCATGCTTAGTGAGGCCGGAAGTGGGAAGGAAAGCTTCTGGCCGGCGGGAAACAGCTGTCGCCGCGCGCTTAGACTCGTGAGGATGCTGGTTCGATTGCTCGAACGTGCGTGCCCTCAGTAAAGATGGCGACCACAGTTGCTTCACTGACTTGGACTCGGCGCCCGGGAGACTTCCGGCGTCGGGCCGCAGAGTGCGTCGGGAAACGATTTTAAACGGGGCGGCGGCTGTGGAGGAAATTGCGGATTTTCAACGGCGGGATTAGGCGTCCGGGCCGGCCTTGCTTTGGTCCCCAGGGGGCTCAGGTGGAGAGCGCCAGGCGGGACACTCTGGCCCTTGCCCTTCTTCCTCTCCGCGGGCCGAAGCCTACTAGGCGGGACCGAGGGCCGCAGAGCTGGTGGCGGGGCCGCGGAGCCGCCCCTCGGGGTGAAGTCACAGCGCTTCTCCGGCTTCCCGGGAGCGGAAGCCTCCCTGTGGGCGCGTCTGTGTCCCCGGTGAACCCGCTTGCGGACCGCGACGGGGTTCGGGCGGGGCCGGTCGCTCGGCCTCGCCCTGAGCTGCCATTTGGGCGGCTTTTTTAACTGGAGGGGATCTCGGTCTCGGCGGCGGCCTGGGTCCGGTTGTGAAGAATGGTTCGTGAAGCCGGCGGCGGTGACAGCGTCTGCGCGGCACTTCGTTGGTGAGACGCTTTGTGTTGGTCCAGGCCTGGCACTGAACTTGATGTTTCGCCCGGTTGTGTGGTCGTTATCTTTACAGTGTTGTGTGTTTCGGTGTATTTCACCTATATCCAGTGGTCGGCAAACTCATTAGTCAACTGAGCCAAATATCAACAGTACAACATTTCCTTTGAGAGCCAAATTTTTTAAACTTCTTCTAACGCCACGTCTTCAAAATAGACTCGCCCAGTTTGTGGTATTTTGTGGAAGAGCCACCCTCAAGGGACTGGCCAGCTGCAGTTTGCCGACCACGGAACTGTCGCCCCAGCACCCGGGGGAGCCCTGGCCTCGGGGCGGTTGGCCTCCGGGGTCAGTGGCGATGGAAGAGTCGGGGTTCCTTTCTTCTCAGATTTCCCATGAGGAAAGCAACGACGTTGTTACTGTGTGCTCTGAACTACAGGTGCAGGAGGACTTGGCAGGAGAGCTTGCTAATTTTTTGAAATAGCTAATTATGAAAATATTTAGTAAACACATACTACCTTGGGTTTTAAGTTTTATTAATGTACATACAACATTATATTTATATTAGTTTTAGGTATACAATACAGTGATCTGACATTTGCATACTTTACAATGTGGTCATCTCACTAATTGTAGTAACCTGTGCCCGCGCGCCAATTTATCACCCCTCCCCGGACCCCCATCTAGCAACTTATCAGTTTAATTTCTTTCTTTCTTTCTTTCTTTTTTTTTTTTTTTGAGATTCCACATATAAGTAAAATCAAATAATTCTTCTGAATTATTTCACTGAGCATAATGCCCTCTAGGTCCACCCACGTTTTTGGAAATGGCAAGATTTATTCCATATGAGTAATATTCCTTGTATATATGTGCCACTTTATCCATTCACCTATTAATGGACACTTAGGTTGCTTCCACATCTTGGCTATTGTAAATAAGGCTGCAGTGAATGTAAGGTGCAGGTGGCTTTTCGAACTAGTGTCCGTTCTCTTTGGAACATGTGCAGCCGTGGGATTGCTCGGTGGTATAGTAGCTCTGGATTTAGTTTTTGGAAGAACCTCCATACTGTTTTCCATAGTGGCTACTTCAGTCTGCATTCCCACCGTCTGTGCACCAGGGTTCCCGTTTCTTCACATCCTCACCTGATCTTGTTTGTTGGTTTGCTAATGATAGCCCTTCCGACAGGTGAATTGCTCACCAATTCAGCGGGTCGATAGGTACTTACTTCCTTTCGCCTTGTAGGTGGTGCTGTAGGGTACGTTCCTATTTTCTCTCACCTGCTCTCCTTCGGCCTCTGAGATTGCTGCAAATGCCCTGATGGTGGGCGTCACCTCTGTGGCCGGCTGGGCTGGGTAACGGTGGGGCAGTGTGGTGGGGAACTGGTTTTGAGAGTTCCCCGAACTCCCTCCTCTCCCCCTTGTGTTTTGCTCGGGGGCCTGGGGAGGAGAGGAGGAAAGTTCTTAACCCAGTTATAGATTTTGTCAATGTTGTGCGTTTGCAGCTTCCTAGCAGCCTTTACGGGGTTTTGCCGCGTGGGAGTGGGGAGGGGAGATGCTTTTTCCCTGAGGCAAAATGTGGGTACAAAGAAGTATATGAAAATGGACCAAAATGAGTGTTGCTTTTTCCCGAATATCCCTGTATATTACTGTATTTGTCTCCAAAGATTTTATAGACCATCTTGAAGGATTTTGGTAGACCCATCTAGAGGGCCTTGGGGCATTCTCCCCTCACCTAAATATTTTTATTTTTTTAATTTTAAATTTTTTTCTTTATTGATTAAGGTATTACATATGTGTCCTTATCCCTTCATTACCCACCCCATCCCCCCTTACCCCGCTCATGCACTCACCTCGTTGTTTGTGTCCATTGGTTAGGCTTATATACATGCATACAAGTCCTTTGGTTAATCTCTCCTCCTTCCCCCTCCCTTCCCTACTTTCCCTCTGAAGTTTGATGATCTGATTGATGCTTCTCTGTCTCTGGATCTGTTTTTGTTCATCAGTTTATGTTGTTCATTATATTCCACAAATGAGTGAGATCATGTGATACTTATCTTTCCCTCACTGATTTATTTTCGCTTAGCATAATGCTCTCCAGTTTCATTCATGTTTTTGCAAATGGTAGGAGTTCCTTCCTTTTTATAGCAGTAGTATTCCATTGTATAGTTGTACTGAAGGTTTTTAATCCATTCATCTGTTGATGGGCACTTAGGCTGTGTCCAAATCTTAGCTATTGTAAATTGTGCTGCTATGAATATAGGGGTGCATGTATCCTTTTTGATTGGTATTTCTAGTTTCTTGGGATATATTCCTAGAAGTGGGATCACTGGGTCAAATGGAAGTTCCATTTTTAGTTTTTTGAGGAAACTCCATACTGTTCTCCACAGTGGCTTTACCAGTCTGCATTCCCACCAGCAGTGCAGGAGGGTTCCTTTTCTCCGCATCCTCACCAGCACTGGTCATTTGTTGATTTATTGATGATAGCCATTCTGACAGGTGTGATATAGTACCTCATTGTCCTTTTGATTTGCATCTCTTGGATAATTAGTGACTTTGAGCATGTTTTCATATGTCTCTTGGCCTTCCTTACCTCCTCTATATTATCTATTTAGGTCCATTATCATTTTTAAGTTGTATGACATCCCTGTAATTGCAGATTAAACCCTTATCGGAGATAACATTGGCAAATATGTTCTCCCATGCCATGGGCTTTCTTGTTGTGTTGATGGTTTCTTTTGCTGTGCAGAAGCTTTTTATCTTTTTATTTTTTTAGAAATACATTTTATTGACTTTTTTCAGAGAGGAAGGGAAGGGGATAGAGAGTGAGAAACATCGATGAGAGAGAAACATCGATCAGCTGCATCCTGCACACTTTCCACTGGGGATGTGCCCGCAACCAAGGTACATACCCTTAACAGGAGTCGAACCTGGGACCCTTGAGTTCGAAGGCCGATGCCCTGTCCACTGAGCCAAACTGGTTAGGGCCAGAAGCTTTTTATTTTGATGTAGTCCCATTTGTTTATTTTCTCTTGAGTTTCCATTGCCCTAGGAGCTGTATCGGTGAAGATACTGCTTTGGCGTATGTTTGAGATTTTCCTGCCTGTGGATTCCTCTAAGATTTTTATGGTTTCCCTTCTTACGTTTAAGTCCTTTATCCATTTTGAGTTTGTTTTTGTGTATGGTGTAAGTTGGTGGTCTAGTTTTATCTTTTTGCATGTATCTGTCCAATTTTCCCAACACCGTTTATTGGAGAGATTGTCTTGACTCTATTGTATGTTCTTGCCTCCTTTGTCAAGTATTAATTGAGCATAGTGGTTTGGTTCAATTTCTGGGTTCTCTGTTCTATTCCATTGGTCTATATGTCTGTTCTTCTGCTAGTACCAGGCAGTTTTGAGAACAGTGACTTTGTAATATAGCTTGATATCTGGTGTTGATATCCTTCCTACTTTGTTCTTCTTTCTCAGGATTGCTGCAGCTGTTCGGGGTCTTTTTTATTCCAGATGAATTTTTGGAGAGTTTGTTCTAGGTTTGTGAAATATGCTGTTGGTATTTTAATGGGCAGTGCATTGAATCTATAGATTGCTCTGGATAGTATGGACATTTTAATGATGTTGATTCTACCAATCCATGAACATGGTATGTTCTTCTGTTTGTCTTCTTCTATCTCTTTCCCCCCCCCTGTCCTGTAGTTTTCTGAGTACAGGTCTTTTACCCTTTTAGTTAAGTTTATTCCTAGATATCTTGATTTTTTTGGTCCAAAGGTAATTGGGATTGCTTTTTTAGTCCCTCTGTAAATTCACTATTGGTGTATAAAAATGCCATAATTTCATAGCATTAATTTTATATCCTGCTACATTGCTGAATTCATTTATTAACTCTAATAATTTTTTGATGGAGTGTTTAGGGTTTTCTATGTAAAGTATAATGTCATCTGTGAATAATGACAGTTTTACGTGTCTTTTCCAATTTGATACCTTTTATTTCTTCTTGTCCAATTGCTATGGCTAGCACTTTCAGGACTATGTCCAACAGGAGTGGTGAAAATGGGCATCCCTGTCTTGTTCCTGTTCTTAGGTAAAATGGTTTTAGTTTTGCCCATTGGGTATGATGTTGTCTGTAGGTTTGTCATATAAGGCTTTTATTATGTTGAGGTATGATCCCTTTATTCCCACTTCACTGAGGGTTTTTATCAAGAAAGGGTGTTGAATTTTGTCAAATGCCTTTTCTGCATCAATTAATATGACTATGATTTTATCTCTCAGTTTGTTTATGTAATGTATCACATTTATTGATTTGCAGATATTGTACCATCCTTGCATCCCTGGGATAAATCTAACTTGGTCATAGTGTATGATCTTTCTTTTCTTTCTTTCTTTTTTTTTTTTTTTGCTTGTCAAATCATCTTTAATTGAATCCTTTCCCTTTTAAAAAAAAATTAAATTATTATCTGTGTACATATCTTACCATTGCCCCTCCTCCCACACATACCCTCCCTCCCCAGAGTTTTGTGTCCATTGGTTGTACTTATATGCATGTATACAAGACCTTCGGTTGATCTATTATCTCCCCCAGATTTCCTCCCCTCCCTGTTGTAATTTGACAGTCTGCTTGTTGCTTTACTGTCTCTATATCTATCTTTTGGTTCATCAGTTTATAATGTTTTTTATTATCCATAAATGAGTGAGGTCATGTGGTGTTTCTCTTTCATTGACTGGCTTATTTCACTCAGCATGATGTTCTCCAATTTTATCCAGGTTGCTGCAAATGATGAGAATTCCTTCTTCTTTTATGGCAGCATAGTATTCCATTGTGTATATGTACCATGGTTTTTTGATCCAATCATCTGCTGACGGGCACCTAGGCTGTTTCCAAATCCTAGCTATTGTAGATTGTGCTGCTATGAATATAGGGATGCATATATCCTTTCTGATTGGTGTTTCTAGTTTCTTGGGATATAATCCTAGGAGTGGGATTACTGGGTCAAATATGGGAGTTCCATTTTC